CGACAAAAACAATTTTTTACGCAAACATTAAGAAACGAATGCTCAACTCGCAAAGGAACATTAAATATCGACTTATTAGAAAAGTTGGTCTATTTAGGCGAGCATGTTTAATCACATCTCCTCGGTTATGAGAAGTTTAATGGCCATCGTAAATTACTTCGGCGAGGATTCAAAGCATTGACCAATCAGTCCAGGAGAAGGTTTCACATTAACGCAGAGTTATATCCCATGAACGGATCCACAAATATCAGTGAAACCTCAGATTCCATATTTAATTCTCCACCCTCAATTTATACCCTTCAATATTGAAACGCACTTTCTTTCAAAAGTACTACCTTTCAACACTATAAAATTAAAAAAAAGCATTGCGTTCATGAAGCTCCTCCAGTGAGAGTAGTAACAAGTGGCCGTGGCACGACTCTTCTCTGCATGTAATTTGACTGCGATCATTATCACTGTTGTTACTTTGCCGTGCGTCATTTCACTGCATATACATATTCACTGTCTTCCCTTTCCCTGTAGCACCCTTTTCACCGTGGGGCTTTTTCATGCAGGCGCGACGTTTTCCGTTTTCTTTGGCTTATCTCATCTCACCGCTTCGTTCTTTCATTCATTCCCAAGGGCAAGTCTAGGACTTGTATGAACGACAGTGGTTTCGAGTTTCGAATATAATTTCTCCCTGCAGTTTCTTCTTTGTATCCTTTGTTCCTTGCAGTCACTCCTGTGTGTTCATTATCTACCCGTACGTCATTTTGTAGGTTTTCATACTTAAGTATTAATATTCTATAGTCCATATCGCATTGATTTTTTTGGTACTACAGAGTTTCAATTCTAGATTCTGTCATGACTTTCGTCATCAGCGGTAAAGGTCAACCAAAGTTGGTTGACACAGGTTTTATATTCGTAAAAGAAAGGAGTTTTGGAAGCAAAACATACTGGACATGTGAATATAGTTCATCGCGCTGAATCTTCAGTTTTGAACTCATTCTGACAATCCCCCAACTTTCTCCCGAGGGTTTTCCTCTCATGTAACAATTATAAACCAGTTTTATTTCAATATCCATAATTTTTTAGGGCAATTTTTGCAGCGAAAGTGAATGCAGTGAAAAGGGTATCAGTAAAATGACGTACAGTTAATTGACGCATGCGAATAAATTGTTTGCAGTGAAATGTCAGCAGTAATTTGTCTAACATAGAAGTGATTTGCAGTGAAATGACGTGGAGCCTGCATTGGCATTTACTTCATAGCAATTTGATTACATAAATTCAAAACGGCACGATCGATCGCAAAGCGGCTTCAACATTCAAGAGAGATGTTGAATACCACGTACAAACACCCTACGCTACGAACAGCTCTTAGCCCATGCAATAATAAAGATGTAGGACTTACCGGCACTCGAGTATGCAATGGCTGTGCTACATAGGAAAGAAACCAGCCATGTCGTGCGATGAACCATTGCAGAATCCTCATCAAATGCCGAGAAATAGCTACGGGACAATAATAGAGAAATGCAAGAGTTGCCCTTCATGGAAAAAAACTCGCTTGGTCAGAAATGTTTACGATTTTTCCGTTTGAAATGTGAAATTCGCCTGTATATTCTGATATGAAGCCGAAATTTTAATGATTTTTGCTTACACCCTGTAAAACGAGATTTTCCTTCCAATAAGAAACCAACATTGTATGTACTTACTTCAGGACAAGTATTTATATGTAAATGAGTTCTTTGAATCCTCAATGGTTCGCGCGTTCAGGCCGCGAGGATGGACCCCAATGATGCGGAAGGCCGTAATATCTCATGTCCAACCATGTTATAGGGGCTTCCGCTGAGGGTGACCAAGACGAACCAAATCCAGCATGATGAGTCCGGCTCGGGTACTCCATACTGGCTCAGTCGTCGCCCAGGATAATCAGGACTGCGATAGTCACTGTGCGCCCAGGGTGACAATTGATAAGTTGGCTACTGAGGCCGGACAGTCCGATGTCTCTGGGTGCGTCGGACCCCGTCATGCTACATCCAGGCCTATCGGTCGGCTTTCCACCAGGCATAGCGTACTCTCGCCACGATGCCCCAAGGGCAGACCAGGAGCGGAATCGAACGATAAACGACTTTGGCAACGGACACTGAACATGTGGACTTGGAACGTGCAAACACTCGGCGGTAAGGAGCCTGAACTCGTGGAGGAGACTAGTAGGAGACGACTAGATATAGTTGGCCTAGCCTCAACCAAGAGGAAAAGCACAGGTTCCATTTCTCTAGACCACGGATGAACCCTCTACTGGAGCGGAGTCGACTCAACCGTGTTTACTCAAGATGGAGTAGGGATACTCATTAATCCCCAACTGGCCGAAAGCGTCATCGAATGGAACTCAGTCAGCGAGCGTGTCGCTCTGATCCGCCTCTGACTGGAGCAAGTCGGAGTCTTGGCCGTCGTTCATTTCTATGGGCTGAACAGCGAGCCTGATTACGATGCGTTTTTGGAGGAGGTGGATGGAACATTAGAAAGGATTCCGAACGACGACCGCGTTGTGCTGATGGACTTCAATGCACGAGTTGGGATAGACGATGCTACATGGAGTGGTGTGATTGGTCGATTTGGGCGGAAAGTTGCTAGAGTTCTGTGCTGGCAATGGCCTGACCATCACCAACACCTCCTTCCAGCACAAAGATATCCACAAGTTTACCTGGCACAGGTGGTCTGACAGTCGGACTGGTACTGTGTGCCAGCAATCGCTAATCGATTACGTGATCGTTTAGGCGGACTTGTGGGGCCTTGTGATGGATACGAGGGTGTAGCGTGGGGCAGAACTGAGCACCGATCATCATCTAGTGGTCTGCAAACTTCGGATACGAGCGAATCTCAGAAAGAGGAAGAGAACCGCACGCGTTGAAAGACAAGTGATGTGGGAAGCCCTTCGCGATGAGGGAACTCGTGACGAATTTGCGAGGGAGATCGGCGAAAAGTACTCCCAACTGCCTCCTCAGAAGTCAGCTGTAGAGGCCGAGTGGACTCTATTTCGGTCTGGTGTTTCGGCGGCGGCAGCAAGAGTGTGTGGGGAGAAGGGCATCAGATTGGCTCACGGTAACGCCAAGCGCATCCCTGGTGGACACCAGCGGTGCGCTAGGCTGTCACTGCCATGATGGTAGCCTACCGGGCGTACATATCCAGTAGGTCTAATTCTTCTAGGGCGTGCTATTCCGAGGCACGACGAACTGCTGCTCGTGTTGTAGCCAAAGCGAAACAGGAGGCGTGGGAGAAATTCGGAGATCAAATGGAATCAAGACTACCGCACTGCCATCAAGGTGTACAGGCAAACCATGCGAAAGTCACGGCAAGGCAGCAACATACGGTCTGGGTCATCAAAGACAGGAACGGGGAGGTGTTGGCCGCCGAGGCGGATATACTTGGGAGGTAGAAGGAACATTTTGAAGAGCTCTTAAACCCACCAACAGTGGACACTGACCTACCCGACCTGGAGCCTCTTAGCGCAGAGACTAGTCTCACCATGGAGGAAGTTCTGCAGGCCATTGCTAGCCTGAAGAATGGGAAATCTACTGGTGTGGATGAAATCCTGGCGGAGACTCTGAAAGCAATGGGCACAGATGGGTGTTCGTGGCTTCATAAGGTGTGTCAGGCTGCTTGGGAATCGGGAATGGCACTTAGGGATTGGCAAAGCGGAGTGGTGGTTCCTCTTTTTAAGAAGGGGGACTCGAGGGAGTGCACGACTATCGTGGGATCACTCTCCTCAGCATACCTGGTAAAGTCTATTCCAAGGTGCTGGAAAAAAGAGCTCGGGCAGTTGTGGGTGATGCCATCCAAGAGGAGCAGTGCGGCTTTCGTGAAGGGCGCAGCACCACGGACCAGCTGTTCACTCTCCACCAGATCATCGAGAGACATTGGGAGTATGCCAAATATGTCTACATGTGCTTGGTGGACCTTGAAAAAGCTTACGACCGTGTACCCCGCAGAAAACTGTGGGGGGTGCTGATGATCAAGTGATCAAGGGTCAGCTATTGTGGGCCGTTCAGTCCCTTTACAGCGATTGCAGAAGCTGCGTCCGAGTGAGCTGGAGGAGTGAGGATTGTTTTCTGGACTCCGGCAAGGCTGTGCCCTCTCACCTTTCCCTTTTCTCGTGTACATGGACAGGATCTATAGGCGCAGCCTCGACCTGAAGGTGGTCAACATCGGTGACGTCGCTGCAAGGATACTTCTCTTTGCCGACGATGCCGTTCTTTTCACCCGTTCTCGAGGGTGTTTTCCTCCAATGGCTTATCAAGGAGAGACCAAGCGCGCCGCGTCCTGCTTAATTGGATCTGGAAAGAGAACTATGCAAAGTCAGTTGTGAAGCCGTAGCCTATGTTCGTGGCTTTTGGTTCATGTACTCCGGGAACAGAAGTAGGTCTATTTCCCTGCTGGGACCCGCATATGGCGACTTGATGGATGTGTGGGCGCTTTAGCCCCTTTCATTTTCTTGTTATTGCCTTCGGTGACGAACAAAGGTTGTCCTATTCGTCTAGTTAGGAAAAGTGAAACCGGTCCCCTGCATCTATAAATGTAGAGTACTACAGGCCCCCATGGCGTGATGGCGTCTCCTGATGGAATTTCCTTTAGAAACCATCGAGACGATGTGTCTCATCGCATGAGATTTACCTCCACTTCGAATCAGGAGATCCTAGAGACGAAGAAATGTATGGGAACTAACCTTTTACTGATGCAGATGATGATGTTTTCAGTCTGAATAGTAATTGTCAATTCTAAAACAATACATTTTCGTTTCCCCGCATATGCTGAGCTTCGTGCCCACCGCGCGAGATGAAGTTTGACGGATAGGAGCTCATGTCCGTTTGTGTCCCTGCGCCGGATTCGAAGAGATAAGAACTAATATTAGGCTTCATGTATTAGAATGAAAACATATGATTTCACAATTAAGGGCTAATCCCTTTTCGCTTGATATGTTCTCATAGATCTTCGCAACACCTGGGTTTTCTTTTGTATTGTTGATGGCGGGCTTGAAAGAGTTTTTGTTCGACAGGTCGCGTTCCTTCTCCCCAGAAGGAATAGAGAGGACAGGAGAAGAGATGAGGATTCAAAGCCCAGGAAGAGAAAAAACGCAAGAGGCAGAGAGCAGGCCCCCCGAGAGGCCACCAAAGAAGTTGGTGTTGAATGGAGAGACGGGGAAGGGGAAGCCTCGAGCGCCGTCTCCACCTCGTTGTTCCACTCCGGAGTTGCCACCCCCGCCTCCTCCCCCTCCAAGGGATGAGGATGTCATTTCCTGTGATGATCCGCTTCCACCACCACCATCCCCGGGTCAAGTCCGCTCTCTCCTACATGCCTCCCCTACCCTTGCGTGAGTTCTCTTCCTTAGCGCTCTCTATGTTCTTTCCGAACTCCGCCGATGTGGTTTCGGGTGGAAGACCTTCAGGATGGATTTTTGAACAGAGTACTTTCCAATAATTCAGCTTTCAGGAAATATAATGTATTTTCCCTGAAATAAAGCTGCATTATTGGATAGTGAGTGCTCTGTTCAAAATCCACCCTTAGTCATTTTAGAATTGGTAGTGAAAGGTGGCTGATTGCTATCCTTTTCATCGTGTTGTCTAAGTTTGCTACGCATTTGTCGTGTAACAACCTCTCTTGAGTTGCAATTTTCAAGTTCTTTTCTTCATCTCCTTAACAAAACAGGAATGTTGCAATGAGATCCCCCAGAATCTTCCCTTGTCAAGGCCTTTCCAATTATTTCCAATTAGGGCCATGTTCACTTCGTTTAATTCTCCTTCCCCCCCCCCCCCCCCCCCCCCCCCCCCCCCCGACCCCC